CAACAGGGTAACCCGGTATGCCTTGAAACCAGACTTCTATAATACTTTGCGAACTGATTCATGACCTATTCCATGAGATTGTGCTGCTGATCTAACTGATTGTTTTGGATTTTCAACGAAAGACTGAAGAATGTCTAATGAGCCGTCTTCGTCTGTCACAGTACTTGGTCGTCCAGATCTGGCGTGATCCTTAACAGTACCAGTGTCTATTCAAGGTCTTTTTCCCGGTTATCAAAACTCAAGAACAATTTTATACACAAAGAATCTCTATTTTCATTTACGGTTACCCTACAAATTATTGCATTTGCGATTAATTAAATCCGTTATGTAAGGAAACACGTTTTTAATCTTACTTGGTTTGGATTTGCTTTCAAAACGTGATAGGAAATGGTTGCGGTATTTGTAAACAACATTAAATGTAAACATATCAGTGACAGCTAGAAGAAATAATCTTGATTCGAACAGCTGTTCGTTATTGCATAGATGAATATGTGATAAACATTGGGAGAAAACTTTACAAAAAATTGCACAAAATTGGGTTTTTAAACGTCCATCATTTAATTTACAAAGAAGTGACGCCATATTTTAATGGCTAAAGACAATCTCGCCAATCCAGTGAATACATTAAAATCATTTGGAACTTGATAGGTACCGGTACTCTCGTTTTTCAGGAGAAGGCCGCGTAAAATGGCTCTTGGGCTGTGACAGACAGGAAGACAGATAGACAGACAGAAATTTAGATGAGACTTGTGTCGGTTTCTTTAATGTATAAAACGTAATAATAACCTTAAAGTTTATGATTCTGAGCAATGTACAGACAAAACTCTAATTTTATTTATATAGATTTGGGAGTTCTGTAATTTTCTTATGGGGAAATAACCGTTTGAACGTACTTGATGATATAGAGGATACAGCAGTTCCCGTATCACACTCCATTGAGAATTGAACCACATCTAGAAGCGGAGTCCCTATACAATACAATACAATACAATATTCTTTATTGTTAATTCGTCAAGAATTACAATAGTGTCAATACAATAGTGAATTGTACACGTTTCCTTTATTGAGTAAAAGGGTCTTGCGATTAGCCACTTCTTCAACTCCTGGTGTAGCTTGTTGCCAGTCAGGTCTCAGATAGTCAGGTAGATGGTTCCTCAGCTTGCAGCCGGTGTAGGAAGGTTTTTTCTCCCAAAGAGTTGTTCGGTGAACTGGTAGTGCAAATTTGGAGCCATGACGGGTGTTGTAGTGGTGCAGGTCTCGGTTTCTTGAGGGGTTTATTTCATTCACATACTTAATAGATTCAAGTATGTAGAGAGACACCACTGTGAGGATTCCTAGGTTTGTGAATGCTAGTCTGCAAGTCTGTGGTGGGACAAGGTTGGCGAGGGCTCTTATGGCTTTCTTTTGAAGTACAAGAATTTGATTCATATTTTTTGTTGAAGTTCCTCCCCACACTGTCAAGCCATATCTAAGATGCGACTCTACCAGTGCGAAGTAAGCTGTTTTGGCCACGGAGAGTCCGCCTATGTAGTTTATTCTTCTGACGACATATATTCCAGTACTGATTTTTTTGCTTAAGTGGTTGATGTGCTCTTTCCATGTTAGTTTGTTATCAAGGATAACACCGATAAATTTTGTGTGGTTTTCTATTGTTACATCCTCTAATTGAGGGACTATGTATTTTTTCTTACTGAAGTTCAGAGTTGTAGTTTTTGTGGGGTTTATTGCTAAGTCATTGTTCTTTGAGTAGAGGATAGCTTTATTTAGGATTGATTTTGAATTAAGGTAAAGGTTTTGGGCTGTGTTGTCCTTGATCAAATGGTTTTGTCATCTGCATAGGCTACATGATTGCAACAGCATTTTCACTCTCAATTTGTTTGGGGAAGTCATTAGTCAATAAGATGAATAGAATCGGGCCTAATACAGAGCTACAGAGCCTTGTGGAACTCCTCTCGTCAGCTTGCTTTTTGAAGATTTGAAACTTTCTGTGACTTCATTTGATGAGTTTTTCAGTTCCACGACTTGTGAACGTCCCGTTAGGTAGCTTTTGAACCATTCTAGCGCAGAGTTTCTTATACCGAGTCTTTCGAGTTTCTTGCATATCAGGTCGTGGCCCAGGCAGTCAAAAGCCTTACTGTAATCAAGGAAGATGGCGGAAATGTATTGTTCGTTTTCTATCTGGTCTAGGACGTACTCAATTAGTGCTGTTGTAGCTGAGGATGTAGATTTATTCTTCCGAAAGCCATGTTGGCTGTCAGTTAAGAGTTTGTTATGATTAAGATGTGCCATTAATCTAGCCAGAGCAATTTTTTCTACGATTTTAGAGAAACTGGAGATGAGAGAGATGGGCCTGTAGTTTTGAGCATTTTCAGTTGGTCCTTTTTTATGTTTGGGGTATATTTTACTGACTTTTATGGCGGATGGGAATTTGCCTTCTTTAAATGATTTATTATAAGATAAACCAGAGGAGAGATGAGTTCTCGAGAGCAGTGCTTTATCATCTTAGAGGAAAACTCATCTATTCTACTTGATGTTTTGGCTTTTAGGGAGTTTATTATCGTTTTAACTTCTTTATAGGATGTTGAAGTTAGGGTAAGGTGTATTGGGCAGACTGGTTCCTCTCCATTCCGGACTGTTTCAGGGTCTATAACGATTGCTCTATTTTGGTCAAGGGTATTTTCTGCTATTTTTGAGAAGAATGTGTTGAAGTGTTCGGCCATTTATTTTGTGTCGTTTGTGAGTTTGCCATTTATTTCTAATTCTGTAAGGGTTTTCTCTTCACATTTTCCTTTCCTTTCCTTGTTTATAACTTGCCATAGTGCTTTTGGTTTGTTGTCAGCTTGTTCTATGAAGCTAGCTGTTGAGGACATTTTTAGGTTTCTTAGTTTCATGTCGTATATCCTTTTTCTATTAATCATTTCTAATTTGTCTTCATTTCTGTTCGTTAACTCAAACTTTTGCAGAGCTTTCAAAAAGTTCTCTTTAAGGTATTTTGCTTCAGGATCGTAGTACTTCATATGTTTTTTGTTTGTACTAATTTTAGTTTTCTTTAATGGGCATGTATAATCCAGTGCTGTTTGAAGAATATTATGAAATTTGTTGTAGGAGGTTTCAAGATTCGGTGATGAGTAAACATGTTCCCAATTTTGTAGATGGAGGTGAGCCTTTAGATTGTTTAGGTTTGTGTTGTTTAGGCTTCTTTTCATTACAAATCTTTGGGAAGTGTCTTCTTGATGTGTTTTCAGCAGGCACAGCTGCGCAGTGTGGTCAGATAGACCAGTATGCACAACTTGTCCAGTAATATACGCATATGGTATGTTTGAGCATATACAGTCTATTGAAGTGGCTGTGTCATGGGTTATTCTGGTGGCCTCTAGAGGAAATCTCCAGATGTTTTGTGTGGTTAACTCTTCTTCCAGCATGGTGTTTTTGGAATCTTGGGTGAGCCTGTCGATATTTATGTCACCGATGAGTATGAGGTTTTTCTTGTGTACTTCTTGTAGTTCTAGCGTGTCTGATAGGAGGTCAAGGGCAATTCTTGCATTTTCGATTGGTGGTCTATAGATTCCCAGAATGTAGATATCCTTTTTCTTTGTTGTCTGCATGCGAATCATTGCTGTTTCGAAAATTAACTCCTGGCATGTGTTTGATATGTTAATAGCTGATACTGTATCAGCAAGGGATTCCTTGGAATATATTGCAACACCTCCAAGTTTATGTTCTTCTCTACTAAAGTGGGTAATTAAAGAGTAGCCGGGAATTTTTGTAGCTTCTAGCTCTGTTTTTTTCAGTCCGTGTTCAGTCAAGACTAGAATGCTTGGTTTTGTGTCATTGAGAATATGGTGTAGTCTGTTCGTCTTTGTAGCAAGTCCTCTAATATTTTGGTGCATTATTGCTACACAAGAATTATTTGGAGATTTTCAGATTTTTCTTTTGCTTTTTTCAGGCTGTTTGTTTCTAAAAAAGGGGTTATAGTATGGGACACTGTAGAGTGATTGGATTGTTGACTTGAATTGGGTTCCTGCAGCTGCTCATGTTTCTGTTCTCCTTGAGAAGAGAGGCAGTCCATCTCGGTCATGTTTAGTCGCTTGGTGTGTGACAGAATATTCTTTTTATATAGGTCTATATTTTTCCAAAAGAAGTCTTCAATGGTCTCTCCCGGCTTAAGAAGCTTGGCGGTGATCGGTTTCCCTGTGTTCTTTGATTTAGTTGATTTGTTTGGGGGAGATATAGTGCCCTTGAAAGTAGAGCAAACTCCTTTTGGGATTTTGATGGCCTTGGGTTCTTTAATATTTTGATTTTGTGTTTGTTGTGGTTGACTTTGGTGTTCTGGTGCTTCTTTCCTCAACTTGCTTTTTGCTGTTTGCAAGGAAACACTGAAATGGGTTTTCTTAGTAGTTGCCAATTTGTTTTTATTATATGAAACTCGTCTTGGTGTGTTAATTGGCTTGCAAGGAGTCTCCGTTTTCTCAGTTATTAGGTGCTGGGAATCTTCTACTGTTATTTTATCTTCTAATTTCTTCATTTTTGACTCCATATTATTCTGTTTTTCTTTTAGGGCCTTTAGTTCAAGTAGAATTAGTGTTTCTGTGTTTGATGCTTCTGGCTTTTTGTTGTCTGAAACTGTGGATTTGTTTGTGAGGTCCTTCGCCTCTGTAGTGGTTGTCTGTGTGCTTGTCTCTCTGAATGATTTTGTAGATTCTTCTCCGGTGTTTATTCTGCTGCATGTATTTTTTTGCCTAAGGCATTTAATTTCATTCTCCATGTCCTTTATTTTTGTGATGAAGCTATTAAAAGTTTCTTCCCTGTCTTTGTCATAATCTTCAAATGTTTTTGTGAGAGTGTTTCTTAGGCTTACAGTACTTCCTTTTCCAATTGGTGTTCTAATTCAGTTATTGTTTCGATTAGGTTGTTGTTTCTAATTAGAATAGTATTTTTCTCGTCTTCTAGTTGTTCAATTTGAGCGTGGTGGTTCATGATGTCGATGGTTTGTATGTTTGTTAGTTCTGGGCCAGACTCGAGTTTTGTTGAGTCAGGTTGAGTACTTCTTCTCTTAGTTTGCTATTTTGTGCTAGAAGTGCGTTTCCAACTTCTGCTGCAAGTGTTAGAGAAGTTTCTAAATCGGGATCTTCTGAGTTTTCTAGTTCTAGAATTTTGTTTTCTACCTCGCGGTAGATGGGCGACATTTTGTTACCCTGACTTTCAGAGGATATTTGATTTGGGGGTGTCGGAGTTTGGTCTTCTTTTAGTTGTAACGCTGGCTTTCCAGAGGTGAGGGAAAGATCACTACAATTGTTACACCTCCATAGGGAAATGTCTTCTTTAGATAGGTTTTTTAATTGTTTTTCTGTGATATTGACACACCCACCATGAAACCAGCAGTTGCAGGGACAAGTACATTTTATACTGGAAAAAATTTACACCGATGTTGCATTCACCACACGGATATTTTGAAACTTTTGTTTTGTTCTTCAACATAGGTATTTGTCATTGAATTTGGATGACAAAGAATTGAGTTGTAGCTCTTCAGTGATAGTGAAAGAATTACTTGTACCATCAGTCTTCATTACTTGCCTTCAAACAAACAGTAGCATTGTGACCCTTATCATTGTATGTAAAACAAGTGGCATTGCGTAGCTTGCATTCATTTGCTCTATGGTTAGATTTACCACACCTAAAACACTTGCCTTTCAAATCATTTATTCATACAAAACTGTCAGATTTTGATAGATTTTTCATGGTTTTACTAATTTTATTTACAATAGCTGGTGATGTCATTTCATTGTTACCTTTTTTAGATATCTCGAAAGATAATGCTAATTCATACGCCCTTTGTAAAGTCAAGGAATCTTCTTGTAGAAGCCTTTCTCTTATCTCTTTGCTGTACAAACCTCTAATGAACTGGGTGATTAAGTGTGTATCAATCATACTGGATTTGCATTTTGAACAGGAAAAATTACAGTCTAAAGTCATACTACGAAGTTCTTTCATGTATGTGAAAATAGACTCTCCCGGTTGTTGTGAACGTGTATAAAACTTGTGTTGTTCAGCGACTTCATTTGGAGTTGTACAAAGATAATCTTTGAGTAGCTTGACCAGTTCATTATAAAATTTGGTATTTGGTAAGTCTGGAGCGCATAAATCATTTAAGAGTTGGCATGTTTTGTCATCATCCTCCCACCCCTAAATCATTCAATTCAAGATAAATAGTTAATCTAAGTAAGTATGTTGTAAATGTTTCATTACCTCAATCATAAGGTTCCACTTTTGAAGTGGGGGACAAATCTTTTCTTAATTGAATTTCTCTTGTAGTCATAACTAACAGAATTGCTTGATTTATTTCTCTTTGAGTCATCGCCATTATTACATACTAGGTGAAACCCGTCAAAATCGACAGTTACTTTCAAGACTTAAGCTAATTCATTTAATTGCGATAAATTGAGTGAAATTATACATATTTTGAGCATTTAGTATTGTTTAAAGATAAATAAGTGTAAAAACAATAATGATAGGCTAAAATAGCCTATTGCATTTTTTATTTTATCTTTGTATGGATTTCAAGCGTCTTATTATGTTGTAAGCGTTTATCTTACAACAAATGTCTTTAGTATTGGTTAATTGTGAGGTAAAATAAGATATGGGCTTACAAACACAGTCAGTAGAGTAGCAGTATATTGTATTTAACAAAATACAATCAATATTAGGGCAAAACTAAAATGTAAAATAATACAATATTAAAAGCCCCAGCCAACGTTCATGACTCCAGGCTCCAAAGTAACAAAATGCTTGCAGACGACATAAGCAGTGTACGAAATCAGTAAGAAAGTAAGATTGCATAATAATCAAAGACCCATGTTATAACACGTTAAATTTGTTACCCTAGTTTGTTATCACTGAAGAGGCCTAACAAAATCAAACGATAACTGATAACAACATATTATTAATAACATCAATGTTATTACTTGTTCAATACAATTATAGAATGATAGATAATACATTTAAATAAGAATGAACTCCAATTTTTCGGCCCCACTTGTCTCACTGGCCTCTCTGCTCACCGTTTCCCACTCACGGGTTCGCGGGCCCCCTCAGCTCCCGGGCCCCCCCGCATTGCGGGCCCTTCTGTTACGCCACTGAATTCAGTAACTCCCAATAACACAATTTAGAACACAATTTTAAAATTAACAGCTGTTTCATTAAAAAGTATTATCCACATGGCCAAAATGTAAACAAATATGTGGAGGGATCTTTAAAGGCTTCTGGGGCAGAGCCCTAAGCGAATTTACTTCGTTTTTCTTTTGATAACTCATCTACAGACAAAGACCTTTCTTTGGACACCTCTATCAAGTTTCTACGCCCAGCCGTACTCTCAAATTAGTGGAGACAAAGTTTCCAATTAAATATTTAGATTCCCCCATGTTAATCTTACGGGAGAAAACCCAACTTTGATGGAAAATCCTGCCCAAACTATTAAAGATATCAAAAAACGATAAACACTTTGCAAAACTTATGATCAGGGCCATTGTTTTGACATTTTAATCATCAAAATAGGTCCAAAAATGAGAGTAGAGAGGAGTTCTGTTTACAAAAATCGGCTTAGCGTTTTGTATATAATAGATTTAACACCAACTTAAGATCAATTATTTTTTATAACTAGCTGTACCAGCGGGCTTTGCCCCGTTTAACTTCATAAGTATTCCCATGGCTCAATCACGTCCTGGTTGAAGTTCGTTCGCTACGCTCACTCACCTTCAGGTTGGAGCTCGTTCGCTGCGCTCACTTGTTTTCAGGTTAGCTCGTTCGCTACGCTAACTCGCCTCCAGGTTGATGTTCGTTCGCTTCGCTCACTCACCTTTTGGTTGCAAATTAGCTGTTGTCATAAATTTTAAAAAGTCATCCCTTTTATTGTTTATAATACTTTGATAAAGGTTTTTATGTTTTAATATTTAACATTAGAGAATTTAAACGTTAAGTGCACAGGTGTGCTGCGATTGGGGTTTAATACATTTGGACTTATTCAAAAGTAAAATAATTTTCTGTGCTGCACTCTGTAGAAACACTGTGGCACTATTTCAAATCATGACTATTGCCAAAGATTACATATGCTACGCAAAATTGATATTGCAGCCAAGCCATTTTTGTGATATCAATTTCCATGCGAAGCCTAGCGAATGTCTTCAGAACCTAAGACTTCATTGCCTACATGACCAGCTGTTATTTACGTATTTTTTGTTGTTGTTTATTGTTATGGTTAACCTTTATTTGTGGTTGTTTGCTTATGTAAGTAACAGGAGGTTTATTAGAAGATGGATTAGCAAGAGTGAAGAAGTGTTAGTATTATGTGTAGTGAATTACAATTGTATTATGATGTGGATATTTTCATGAACAATATCAGGTATTAAGACGAGTGTAAGTAATAAATAGCAAACACGGCAATCAAAAAATGGAAAGGCCTTCCTGACACTTCTTTCATTTACGTTTAGTGTGTGAACTGCATTTTGAACCTAATAAATAATTTGAGAAGTAAAAAGGAAGCTGTACCAACATGACTAGTTATGTATTAATAAACTCTGTCAGTTGTCACTCAGCAGTCAGCACTCATTACTGCTTCTACAGACGATCACCGACCGTCTCGCGGCAGCCTCTTCATCACGTAGCGGTAAATTTACCAGTATTTCTACCGTCAATGTCTCATTATCTTTATAGTCCACCTAAAAACAGTTATGATAGAGTTCCAAAATATATTATTAACTACCTTCATCATAATTTATTGTCAATTGAAAATAAACGTACGTTGAGCATTGTGGTTTAAGTGTTTATCAACGAAGACCACTAAGAGGGAAATAAAGTATCCTAGGCTATATATTTATGGGGTTCAATTTTGGAGAGGGGTGGTTAGGCACTTTCTGCTCCAGGGCGCTCCAATCCAAACCTGGCTACGCCAATACAATGCCTTAATGTAAATGTTGATTCAGGAACTTACCATGAATAGCTAGCTATACTGGGAAGACGAACGAAATGCCTGTTGTAAAATGTTGTTACAGGCTTCCGGTACAAAGTATTCACCCTATTGTTTAATATAATGTTTAAATCAGGCCATACCAGTAAATTGCGATCTCGGGTTAGTTTACTTTCGTGTGATTGCGAAAGTGTGACTGACCTCCAATTTCCAACCTAAATATAGTTTTTACGTGGTAAAGATAACCTCTTAACCCTCCATGGGTCCATTATATGACCTCAAAAGGTCAAGCGGTTTTCAGTGATATAGCAAAGTTTTAGTTAAAATAAAATAAAATAAATAAAAATTAACTAACAGGTATAATGTTGTACATTTTCTAAAACTAGACAAACTGGCCTATCTAAAAAATACATATTTGATATCCCTACCTTATTTATCAGGTCTCTGGTATGGGTCCGAATCCGAAAGTTGCAAAAAAAAATTATATATATACTTGTTGACCCCCTATGTAAAAACCTCAAGGTGTACTTACTCAAAAATCCAAGATATACATTTTGTTCCAAATTTTCTTGCAAACAAGAAAATATATACTTTGTTAGGGGTTAATTCACAAATTATAGAAAAAACTAAAAATTAAACAACTATATACACGATAAAAAAACGCAGCGATTTTCAGTGATTATGCAAGGTTTTAGTTCAAACAAAATAAAATATATAAATAATGACTGGCAGGTAAAAGGTTACACATTTTCTAAAACTAGACAAACTGGCCTATCTAAAAAATACATATTTGATATCCTTACCTTATTTATCAGGTCTCTGGTATAGGTCCGAATCCGAAAGTTGTCAAAAAATGTATATAAACACTTGGTTTCCCCCTATGTAAAAAACTCTATATACACTAACTCAAAAATCCAAGATATGCATTTTGTTCATAGTTCACTTGCAAACAAAAAAATATACACTTTGATAGGGGTTACATCACAAATTACGGAAAAAAATAAAAATTAAACAACTATATACAAGACTAAAAACCGCACTGCCTGGGGTTCGTTTAGACCTACTGGAGTTCCGACACTTTCTTCTTCTTTTTGGCTTGTAAAGGCCTCCAATAGTGCTGAAGTAGATGAAAACACTCTTTGTGGATGCCTACATTGCAGCCTGGACACCAGTATGTAGCCTTTCTGCAGCATACAGCACATACTCTGTTTGATTTGTTAGGCACTTGCTGCATTTGGTGCGCGGTGTCTCCTGATGGTCCTGCAGTCGGACCTATGTCTCTTGTATTAGCCAGGGTTTCCACAATATCAACTAAATAATCCTTTCTACTCTTTGGCTTGTCAGTATTCAACGAATACAACACATACGAGTTGAAAAGCGCAATATCCAGTAAATTATAGAAGATCCTCTTCCAATATTTCTTCGTCGGGCGAGTGCATGAGGTGTGGTAGATACTTTTATCACTTACATCTACCCCACCCATGTATTGGTTGTATCTATGGATAAGAACAGGTTTTACTGCTTGTTGCCCTTTTTTGCTCTGGACAAGTTTGTCCTCGGCGTGGCAAGCAGTGGTCAGGGCAAAAACCGATTTTCTTGACGCGTTCTGCTTGAACGAAACGAGAAGGACATCTTTGTGCCTGAAGTACAGAGTTTGTCCAGCTTCCAATTCAGTATTCTTCAGTGTTGTTGCAAGATACTGAGAATTCTTATTTATAGTTCCAGTAAGGTAGGTGTTTCTTTCATGTAACTTTAATGCTAGAGGTACTTTAGTGTAAAATTGATCGGTGAACAGATGATGGCCTTTGTCGAGGAGACCACTTTTCTCCATTACCTCTAACACACATTTTTGTACAAATGGCCCTGGTTTATCGATCAAGAAATCTGCTCCACTGTACATTTCAAGGTGCAAGACATAGTTAGTGGCAGAATCACAGGTCTCAAATTTTTTGATTCCAAACTGCTTGTGTTTTTTTTTCGGGAGGTATTGTATGTAAGAACAACGGTTTTTCATGCCTATAAGGCTCTCGTCCAGGCATACATTCTGTCCGGGGACAAAATACTTTTTGAAAGCTCTGTTTAAATGGTCTAACAGATATCTTACTTTGAACCAGTGGTCGAATTCTGGATGGCCTCTTGGATGTCCATTGTTGTTGGTAAGTTGGAGGTTCCACAAAATCAATGCGAACTTGTTGTAGCTCATCGTCTTAGCAAAAAATGGATGTGACTGAGATTCTCTCGTATCCCAGTAGCCTGTTATGTTCTTGAGTTTCCAAATCCCCATGTTTATGAATAACCCAAAAAACCTCTTTATGTCTGCAACAGTACAGTCAGTCCATCTTTTTATTCTTGATTGTGGGGACAAGTTTTGTCTTTGAAGCGCTTTCCTTGCCGACGCATTTGTACACTGACAAATTATGTTCCAGATAGCCTGGGTAAAGAAAAGATAGAAGTATTCAATACAACTACTATTTCTAGGAGGGAGATTTTGTATGCCAGTGTTCCTCCTAGTAAATTTTGATTCGATCTCCTTTTCAGGTTCTGGTGGATAAACTCGAATCCAGAGCAAATTTGGAGGACCTTTTTTCTTCTTAGGCCTAGGCCTACTACTGCTAGGTACATCATTACTAGGCACACTTACAGGTACTTCAGGCTCCCCTGGATCATCAACATCTTGCTCCCTATCACTAGTGTCCAAATCATCGTAATCAGGAATGTATTCCTCCCCACTTCCACTTGAAAAGTCCAGTAACGATTCTGAGTCTGAATCAATATTCTGAGGCGGTAAACCTAAATCGAAGTCATCTTCAACATTATCATCGTCAATATCACTTATTTCTTCATTCAACAATTCCCTAATTTCACTAGATCTCAAATCATCACACATTTTGTAAACATAAACCAAAACAAACTCACAACAACTCACGTAACCGTAACCACAACAAATGACGACATCACAAACTAACAGATGCTCTGATTTTTAGTCACAGACCAGTAGTAAACGGCCGTCATATGGTTTTGTCATGAAGCCTAGCAATCCCCCTACACGTAGAGTAAAGATAGCGACCCGATTCTAGCGCTTGAACGGCTTTAAAATCAACGAAACGAAGAGTTTGCAGACCCGCCCGTTTTCGGGCGGGTGACGCTGCTGGCCCAGACGGACCCGCCCGAAATCGGGCGGCTGAGGGTTAAATTTATGTACAACTAAGGTTATATATTATTATTATTATATACAACTATTTTTTTTATATAGAGATACGATGACGACGGGTTGGCGATTGTGTTGCGTACAGGCAAGTTATCCCGAGCAGGCGAACATTACCGAACTCACCCGAACTTGAATGGTAATGCAGATCGAGACTTGACACAGCGCCTCTGTTGAGGGACCACCCAACTACGTGAAGGTGGCCCCATCCAAAAACGACTTGGCACAAAATTGCCGTAAGGTGCAATATCTATTTTGCGTAGCATATGCAATCTTTGCTATTGCTAATACAGAATGTTGTGATTATTCAAACCTACAAAACAGTTGGTGAAAGTAAACATCTGCTTTTGAATTATATTTATTTGTAAACACTGTAGATCAAAAAGTCTGACATTGGCCCACTTAAAACCCTCTGGGGCAGAGCCCTTTTGACGGATCTGCACCAAACTTCACTCGAACCATCCTTGAAAGATGCTTAATAATGCCTGAAAGTTTCATTACAATCTGTCGAGCGGTTTCGGAGTCCATAATGTATATACATACACACATACATACATAGTTCCTCTTTTATAGATATAGATAACAAGTTTTAAGGAGGTCCATGATGTAAATATGTTGTAACTCAAAACTGAACTCTTATTTTGTTTGTTTTGCATTTATAATAAACAAAGAAAATTTAATTGATTATTATCAGCTGATTGTAGTATGTAGGATATAATAGAGGTGTGTTTCCTGATGTGCTGAAGAGTGTTTATATCTCACCAATGCATAAGGCTGGTTACCCTGCTGACATAAAGAAATATTGTCCAATAACCATCCTGCCTGTCATAGGTCTTTGAGAGCCTTGTGGTAGACAAGCACAACTTCCACATCACAAGTTTGATTCACCCATCTCACCATGGCTTTATAGGAGGTAAATCTACCTACTGTTTCGAACCTGCTATTTCAAGAATATGTCTTGGCTGCCTTCCAGAAGAATAAACAAGTCAACACTGTTTATATTGATATGGTCAAAACGTTTGATAGAGTTGATCACTCCCTCCTCTTATCTAAGGTTGAAGGATATGGTATTATTGACCCCTTATTATCTTGGTTGTCCAGCAACCAACATGCAAGGTTGCATGTTAACAGTGAAAATTGGCCCATCAAGATCACCTCAGTTCTCTCCATCTTCTGGGGTCCCACAGGGTTCATTGCTGGGCCCGTGTCTTTTTAATGTCTTTATATCAAGACCTCCTGGACGAGATTTATGTCTATGCTCTACAATTTGCAGATCACCTGAAGATATTTACAGTTTATAGAAGTGACTCTCATAACTTTCCGCTAAGTCTCTTTGCAATCAAGGAGACATTGCCAATGACATGTCTGTCAATCCCAGCAAATGCTCTACGGTAACATTCTGCTGATCCAAGTCTCCAGCTGAATACCAGTACCTACCTGATATCGGGTATTAAAATCCCAGAAAATCGGATAAAGGAATCGAGTGTTTACTTTGATAGTGACATGACCTTCTATAGACAATAGACGGTTTCCTTTTATTTGTAATTTCTTTAAGAACTACTATGGCGTCACAAAAATCTAGAATGTTTAAAATTTAGATTGTTTGACAGTTTACATTTTCTTTGTATTGAAAGCTTCTAATTGGTCAAAAATTCCTTAAGGGAGTACACCGGTCGGTCCACAAGCCAGTCCCAGAGTTGCTGTTTGAGTTAATTTCCTGTTGCGTTCTTGAGGTTGTTTGGAAGAGAGTTAATGATTTTGCGGCCAATATAAGAGGGTTTTCTGCTGTATTGTGTAGTGTGGTGGATCGGTAGGCTGTAGTCGGCTGCTCTTCTGGTGTGGTAGCAGTAAAAATTCTCATTTCTGGGAAGGATCAGTTTTTTTGTGTACAGGACAACTCCATGGATGTAGAGTGCTGTCACTGTTAGGAGCTTAAGGGATTTAAATTCTTCTCTGCAGCTGTCTAAGCGCTCAAGGCCGGAGAGTGCCCTGACGGCTTTTTTCTGGAGCACCAGGATTTGGTTGAGGTTTGCATCTGATGTTCCTCGCCTAGATATTAAGCCATACCTTATATGTGATTCTATTACAGCATAGTATGCTGTCTTAGCCATTTCCAGACCTCCTATCCATTTAATCCTCTTTGTTACATAGACCTCAGATGCAAGTTTCTTGGTCAGGTTGTGATTGTGGTCGTTCCAGGAGAGGTCTTCAATCAATTGTCATCAATTGTCAGGCCAAGCAGTTTTGAGGTTTTTTCAACGGTTAATTGATAAATTTCTTGGATTTGTTCATGTTTTGGGCTAAAATTTAACTGGGTTGTTTTTGATGGATTAATGGCCAGGTCATTTTGGAGGCAGTACTACAGTGCTTTGTCTGTTGAGGATAAGATGTTGGAGTGTAAGTCTTGTGGTAAGTCATGCATAAATAAAGAGTTGTGTCATCAGCGTACATTACTGTTTCAATATTTTCATTCCTAATGAAATATGGAAAATCATTGGTGAAAAGGATGAACAAAAATGGGCCCATGACTGAGCCCTGGGGCACTTCTCTGTTAATCCAAAGTTGTGTGGACATATGTACAGATTTTCTTCCATTTGTGTTTTGCTGGATTTGTGCACGTCTTTTCAAATAGCTTGCCATCCAGTCTTTGGCCATTCCCTCTATTCCTAGGGCTGTGAGTTTCCTTAGGATAAGGTTATGGCCCAGACAGTCAAAAGCTTTGCTGTAGTCAAGTAAGACTGATACATATGTTTGCGTGCTTCTAGATGGTCAATGATTTGTTCAATTAAACTAGTTAGAGCTGTGGTGGTGGACCTCCCTTTGAGTAAACCATGTTGGTTTTTAGTGATGAGATCATTGCTTTCCAAGTGACTCAGCATTCTTGACAGAGCGACCTTTTCTATTACTTTTGAAAAGGTTGATATTAATGAGATAGGGCGGTAGTTTTCTTGTTTAGTGCGTGAGCCTTTTTTGTGCTTTGGGTATATTTTTGCTATTTTTAGAGCGGAGGGAAATTGTCTAAGGCTTAAAGATTTGTTTATTATGCTGACAAGTGGAGCTGCCAGTTGTTCGGCACAGTGTTTTACAACTTTTGATGGCACTTCATCTAAAGTGGAGTCTGCTATTTCTGCAAAATATTGGTTTAGGTGTTCAGCAATGTCAGTAGGGTTATCTTTTTACAGAAATGGGAGTCAAACCATTTTGTTCAGCATTTAACACATTGACTGCTGCTAAAAAATGACATATCCAAACCTAAAATGCTGAAAAATTTTTATTGCATAAAAACATACCTTCATATGTTGTTATTGAAGATCGGTAATCAAAAAGGTCCTCCGTGGATTTTTTCTGTGAATTTCGCCATTTTGAAATCACTGTTCACCGGAGACCTGGCCGCACATGAGGGACTTTAGCTGTTACTGACGCACGCCGATTTGGGTGGTCGCGCCTCTCCACAAACTCTTTTTTGCATTGTTTTTATTTATACAGTTTTTTTTTACATTCTGATTCTATCCTAATACTAAACACACATTTATTTACAACTAGCAGAGTACCCGTCCTTCGTACGGGGTTGGCATATAAGTTGAAAATGCTTATTGCAGTTATACTCAAGCTTTACGTTTGCAATGGGGGAGGACATAGTTTGATAAAATTTGCTTCTTTAAATTTACGGTATACTATGGCATTACACGTCTACCATAGCCATAATGTTCTACCACTTCACCTAAACAATAAAGAAAAATAAATTATTAAAAATTCCCAAAATATCACAAATTATTCATGAAATTAAAACATAAACATAACTGTAAACAATCCTACTTTGACAGTTTTCATTGCATATCACAGTTTTTAGTTGCTGCTTAGTTCAAATTAGCTTTTTACATAAATGCAAAGGAAATTATAGTGCTGCACCCTGTTGGTAAATCTTATAACTTTTTAATGATTTTGCATATCATAGAACCAGCATTTTTAGTTGAAACAGCTGACTAAATTCTTTAATTCCCTTTAAATATGAATACTCATAAGGTTAACATGGGGAACTACAGAGCCACTAGGGCGTAGCCCGAAAGGATTTTTGAGATAAGAATATGCCTATATGTTAATCGGGAATGTGAGCTATCATCAATTTTCTGTGAATTTCGCCATTTTGAAATCACTGTTCACCGGAGACCTGGCCGCACATGAGGGACTTTAGCTGTTACTGACGCTAAAGTCCCTCATGTGCAACTTAAACTTTTCAATGCCCTCCCTGAAAATGTACGCAACTTGCCTATTAAGTCACTGAAAAATGTATTGACCGATTTTTTGAACAGAAAGGTTATCTACTCTATCGAGGAATTTTTATCTTTCAAACATGATGATTTTCTGTAAAATTCTAATTGTTAAGTAGGGTATTGTTTCTAAAGTATGTAATAATGGTTTCATGAACTGTGATTTAATAGTCTTTCATAATAATGTTATTTCTGTGAACTTTATTTAAAAATTTATTGTTATTTAGTTTTAAGCTGTATCTCACTGCCAATTTCAGCCTTAATTATTTTGTTATAGGTACTTACCCAACTTGTTTGCTTAACTATAAACAGTATTATTATCATCATTATCAATACATCTCAAATACTTTTGTACAAAAACCCAGTATTATTAGTTTATTAGTATAGCATGTTCATCTATTTACACTTGACTCT